AGGTTGAGAACCGCTGGTTTAGAGGCATTTGTCCAGAGTTCCCCTCACCGGCTCTGCCAGGCGCTGTTAAGTTTATTTCTTAGCAGCGTGGTGACCATGGTGGGCCCTACGTTCAGAGTGAGAAACACCAGGTGGGGGTGCAGCTGGGCCCTGGGTCTCCCACACTACAGCCGTGTTGGAGCCATGCAGCTGGTTTAGGGGGCTGCCAGCAGTGCACCCCCAAGTAGGGAGGGTCTTGCTCTGAGAGCCACACCACTCACCCACCCTGACCCGCGATATCCAGAGCCCACGTGCAAATTGCCCTGGGCACACCCTACATGGCCGAGGGTAGAGGGTTTCAGAACAGAGGTACTCAGGAGGACAAGGGTGTCCAGAGGGACAGGCATATCCAGAGGGACAGAGCTGACCAGAAGGGTGTAAGGAGCAGAGGGCGTCTGGGTGCCAGGCCCTCCTTCCACGGGCTCAGCCATAAGACATTTGTTGTGGTTGTTTAAGTCCCCAGCTGCCTGTTTGGTTTCCAACAAAACCCTGCGAGTTCATGGGTGTTCTCAGAGCCGGGGGTGTGTGTCCCCAGGTCCTGGCAGGTTGAGTCAGGTTCCTGTGGCCAGTCCTGGGGGCCTGTGCAGAGGTCAGTTCTGCCCCACAGTGGGAGACGGTGCCTCGGACACAGGCGTCACATCAGCACACACAGAGGATGGAGGGGTTGCCCCCTAAAAGGCACCTTCTTCCTACCTAGGAAAACATCTTTGTTAAACTGCACTTTGGGTGAGGGGGTCCAGAGCCCACCGAAAAGCTGCCTTCAGCGCTGACCAGCAGCCTGGTGGTCCTGGGCCCAGCCCCCCGCATACTCCGGTGCTGGGTTGGCCCAAGGCCGGGTCCTCACCTTGGCTCCCAGGGCTGAGCACCCAATAAAGCAGCGGTTCTCAACCTTCCTAATGCCGCAACCCCTTAATACAGTTCCTCATGTTGTGGTGACCCCCAACCATAAAATCATTTTCATTGCTACTCTATAACTGTAATTTTGCTACTGTTATGAATCGTAATGTAAGTATCTTTTTGTTTTCCGATGGTCTTAGGCGACCCCTGTGAAAGGGTCGTTCAAAAGGGGTCGCGACCCACAGGTTGAGAACCGCTGCAATGAAGTGTCAGCAGGCAGGGAACTTCAGGGCACAGGCGTAACCACGTGGAATCTGGACGAAGTCTTTGCGAGGGGACGTCTGCAGCCCTTCCCCAGGCCTGGTCTCTGCGAAATCCCTCCTTAACCGCCCCTCCCGCTACCTGATGGATGGGCCAGGCTGTCCAGGAGGGTTCTCCACGGCCCCACCCTGCCCCCACCGGCCCCTCTGCCCTGCAAGCCCTGCCCCCACAGGCAGAGCCTTGCGTCACCTCTCACTGCCACCTGGCTGTGCTGGCATTGGAGGCCGGGGTCAGGGTTCTGGTTGAGCGCCTCCTGGCCCCTCCTGCAGCCAGTCCCAGGGACCCCACAGGCCAGGCTGGGCTCCCCGCTCCCCTCCTCTGCGCCCCAGCAGCTGTCCTTAGTGACCACACGGGAGCGCAGCTGCCAGCCTGGCCACACACCCCTCCCCCAGGAGTGGTCCTTGCACAGCCATCCTGGCCCAGGGTCCCCAGGGGCTCAGGTGCAAGGAGACACTGCTCACTGGGTGGGACAGAGGCCACCCCAGCTTGGAGGCCTCGTGCCCACTGTCACAGGGTCTTGTGTTCCCATAGCCACGTCCTGTTACCAGAGTGACAGCTCTGGGTGGGCACATAGCTCACATCCTAGCAGGTACGTGCGGCTCTCCGGGTCTACTCACACAGCCCGCCAGCCAGGGGGCGCTGTAGCCTAGCAACATGGTTTCCATGGGAGCAGAGCTGGCGAGCTAACCAGAGACCATGCCCTTCACCTTGGCAGAGGTAGCCAGACCACCTTTGTTGTGGCCAGCGTGTTGGGAGCCCATCTGCACCTCACTGCTCAGTGGTTGGCCACCCTCCCTCCTGCCGTAGTCTCAGGTGTGTCACACCTGGTCTGTCCCAGATGAGGTGGCACTCTGGGCTGGGGATACCAGGGGAAGCCCTGCCTTGCTCCCGCTATGTCCAGGATGATAGCCATGGGGTGGCCTCTGCAGCTTTTGTCCAGCCGCCTGTCCCCAGCCATCTGTCCCCACCTGCCTGTCCCCAGCCGCCGGTCCCCACGTGCCCGACAAACAGCAGACATGCAATCCTCTCCAGCCCAGGGCCTGGCCTCTTGTTCCCGTGACCCTCCCCAGGTCTGCATTTGTCCATTCAGAAGTCCTCTCTTCAGCAGAGGCCTGGCCCTTCTGTCTGGGGTGTCCAAGGGACACCCCCACATATGCACACCTGATTCTGGGCCAGGCAGTCCAGCCCTCCCAGCGGACTGTGATGTGGATGAGGGCGGCACCTGGCCTTCTCGGGGACGATCAGTGCAATGGGCCTGCCACAATCTCAGGCCCGGAAGTCACCAGGAGCGCCACCCCTGCCAAGGGCCCCTGCAGCACCCGCTTCCAGCACGGCATGTTCTGTGCTCTGCGTCGCCCTGGCTGGAGCGGGCCCGAGTGGACCGGCTAGATGCCTGGGGCTCCTGCACCAGCCTGGCCCCCTCCCCAGACCCCCAGCACAGGTCAGGGCAGCTCCATCCTCGCGGCTGCTCGGGCCCGTGGCCCTGGGTCTGCCACTGCGTGCGCATCCTCCTCACCCCGCTTCTCCATGAACCGCCCCCCGCCCCGTGCCCTGGGGGTGGTCTGCTCTACCCAACCTCTGGGTCTCAGAGTGGAAGCCACAGGCCCCAGTAGCCCACCGTGTGACCTACCCCCACCCCACCATCCCCTCCAGCACAGCACAAGGTCCTGGGCCCCACCTCCCACGCCCACCTGAGGCTGGACCTCCGGCCTGCAGCCCCTCGCCCAGGCCCACCCACCACCCCGGCGTGGCCCCAGGACCACCATCCCCATTCTCCTTGAAGAATCCCGTCCCCTCGCCATGTGCTCTGTGCGTGTTTAGTCCCAGCTCCCAGAGGGTGCTTGGTACACGCTTGCTGAACGTGGAACTTTAATCCAGCCCCTGCCCAGTCATAGACGTAGTTACGGTCCAGCTGGCGTCCGAATGGAGGGGGACCTTGTGCATGCCACAAGCAGGGCCCAGGGCTTTGGTTGTGGCTGTCAAGCTGTTTCCCATGGGAGCTCATCAGCCTCCGAGGAAGCAGGCAGGATAGTACGAGCGTCCAGGGCTAGCACAGGCCTTAGTAGGGCCTGGAGGGCTGGGGGCGGAGGGCAGACCATGGGGTCCTGCCCCTGGCCCTTCCCTACTCCCCAGGTTTTCCAGCTTAGTCATGCCCATGTCTCCTTGCGCTGTGTGAGCTTCTGAGGAGCAGTCCAGGAGACTGCACAGAGGAGGTGGCAGGGTGACCTCAAAGGACATGCAGGACCCAGCCTAGCAGACGATTCAGAGCATGGAGGCAGAAGTCACAGCAAAGGAGGATGGGGCGGGGGTGGGGGGGGTCCCTTGGGGGTTGAAGGGCTGTGGGACAGGCAGCTGGGGGCAGAGCCCCAGGGAGAGCCTGGAGGTGGCCAAGGGGTCAGGCCATGCCCCCCACCTCGGCCCCGCCAGTGCAGCCCTGTACCCCGCCGTCCCTAAGGAGGGTCCTGACTCAGCTGCCACCTTCTCCTGATGTGGAGTCTTGAGGACCAGAGCAGATGTGGCAGCCAGTACAGAGAACGCTAGTGGACAGATGAAGGGGTGGCCCGGGGACAGACGACAGCCAGCCGGTGGGGCTGGGTGGGGCTGACCAGCGGGCAAAGAGACGGCCCCGGGTTGCAGCGAGGGCACTAGCAGGGCGCCTCAGGGAGGGCCCGCCTGCAGAGTTGGAACCAGCAGGACTTCGTCCCTTGGGGAGCAGGGGCTGTGGCGCCCTGGGGAGAGAAGGGGCCAGCGGGCCGGCCTTGGGGGGGCAGGAGGCAGGTTTTGGCCAGCGACACACTGGGTATTTGAAGGACCTGGGACAGGATCCGAACGAGCTTGTGTGTAGAGCAGAACTAGGCTGCATTTGGAAATGGTGGCCCCTGGAGCCCCGTGGGGTGCTCTGTGTTGCCGTCCCTGCCAGGGAGGCCGGGCAGGCAGCTGCTCTGGGACAGGCTCTGGCACGAGGCGGTGATGCCCGCCTGCTGCGCGGGACTGGGCCCCTGCCACTGAGCCACGGGCCTGGGGCTGCCACTTACTCAGAAGAGCAAGTGTGGGCCAGGCAGGCAGGAAGGGTCTGGACCTCAGCACCCTCCCTGCGACACACGTGTCCTTGGCCCGTGCACCAGCTGCTCTGTTCCCAGAAACAGGCATTCCTCCCTGTCCTGAGCCTCCCGAGCTGTCCATCCCCCCTGCAGGCCTGTCTTCCATGGAGTCCACTCAGGGATGGATAGCAGAGGGCCGGGCTCCTAACACTGTGCGGGGTCACAGGCCCTGTGATGCTCCAAATGTCCCAAATGGGGACAGAGGGTCAAGGAGCAGATCCTGCCCTCTCCACACCCCGACACCCACCGTGTCCTGCCCTGCAGCCACATTCGGAGCAGCACGGGGACCCGGTGACTAGCGGAAACAGGATGCGTCCCGGCGGGCAGCCCCAGCGGAACGTTTGTTGAATGACTACAGAACTGCACCCTTGGACCTCAGGAGGGGCAGCTCTCCCCCAAAAGCCTTTCCCACGGCTCCATCAGCGCTAGACCTGCCCTGTGGGACACACCTGGTCCCCGTGTGCGATGGGGGAGGATGTGCGAGCTGGGTGCCCAGACACTGATGCACGGAGGGCGGAGGCTGGGGCGAAAGGCCCTCATTCCGCTGCATGGACTTGCTACTGAGGGGATGCCATGCCTCTGCCTGCAGGCCTGGACGTGCTCGGGAGGCTGCATGGAGGCGCCTCTGGAGGCATGGGGTGCAATGGGGTCTGGAGACTTGGGGGGGGGGTCACAGAGCAGCTGGGGAAACACAGGCTCCTGATCCCACAGTCGTCCCCACTCTCGCTCAGAGGCCTCGGACCCATGGAGGGAGCAGAGGCCTCACCTCCCAAGCAAGGCAAGGGAACAGGGGCCTAGGGAGGGGTAGTCAGGCGGGCAGACCCCGGGGTCCGGGGGCAGGACTCCTCCACCAGCCTGTCCATCATGGGTCACGGGCACCGGAGGGCCCTCGGCCCCAGGCTCACCGACACCCCTACAGATATGCTAAGGCTCCCACCCAGTCCAGGTTCTGGCTAGAACAGGGTCTTTGAGGCCTGCCGGCGGCCCTAACCTGGCTGGCACTGCCTGCCTCCAGCATGGGCTGAGCCAGGGGAGCAAGAGCACCTGGCGAGTGCCCACCGTGCCCACCCCATGCTGGCGCCTGAGGACTCCACCGGGGAATACAGGTCTCTATCCTCCAGGGGCCCCGCTTTGGGGCGGGTAGGGGGGATGGGCCTCCCGCAGCGGTTGGCAAGGTTTTGGGGCTGCCCACCCCAGGGTCTAGAATCTTCCAAGGCAGTTTCAGGCAGCCTGGGAACTCCTAGTGGTGCGAGTGGGGGCGGCTTGGAGCCAGAGGCCCTGCTGGCACGGAGCAGCCTGGGGAGGGGCAGATGGGGGTGGGGCGTGGCACGCAGCCAGCTGTGGTGATGGGGTAGGAAACACAGCTGGGCGCCCAGAACCCAGAGGGGGTGCCTGGAGGGGCTCTGAGTCTGATGGTGAAGACGTGGGCCTGAGGCAGCAGGCAGATGGACCAGCAGGTGGTCCGGCTGGGAGGGCCTGGGGCGCTGGAAGCCAGGCTCGGCCCCTGCCCCACCTGGCCTGTGAGCTGCAGCCCTCATCCCCGTTCCTCAGAGAAGCTGGCGGGGAGGCCCCGGGTGCCCGCAGGGGGCCTTGCCCTGAGGGCCCAGTCCCGTCTGGAACAATCCCCACTGGGTGCTTGGTCCTCACCCCCAGCCCAGTAAGGGTGTCTCCCCCCACACGGGGGTCCCCTTTGGTACCCTGGCCCAAGGGCAAGCCCTGCAGACGGCTCCCCAGGAGGAATTGGGGGGCTTCCTAGCCTGGCGTGGGGGGCGGGGTCAGGGCAAGAAGAGGCTGGGGACCTCAGCAGGGGCCCAGCTCTGCTCCTGAGCCTCACTGGGGGGATGTGGGGGGGGGCGTCTGAGAGGCATGGTGGGAGGTTTCTCGTGCACACCGTTCCCCACAATGCTCTCTGCTAGACAGCCCACCCGGGAGGTTGACTGGCTCCCCCTGAGCACGTCCTGGGACCCCCCTGCTCCTCCCCCCCTCCCTTTCCCCTCCCATCCCAGCCCCCTCCATGGGGCACAGAAGTCATTTCTACAACACAAACCACACACCCCTCCCCACTTACAGCTGGGGGCGCCATCAGGGAGAGCATCTAGTGCCACCTGGGGGAATGAAGAAGAGGTGGCCGGGGCAAGCCTGGGGCAGGCGACTGGTGGGGAGCCACGGGGGGCTCGGGTGCCCCAGCTGGGTGGGACAGCCCCCCGTAGGTACGACGCCCTGGCTGGCCTGGCACAGACTGGACAAGGACAGGGTGCAGGGAGCCCTGGGTGTCCCTGTGGCCCATAGGTGCTTCCCCAGGTCCCACCGCACAGGATCTGAGCCCTGAGGCCCCCGACCTCATCCCCCAGCACCCTGGGCCCCGGCCCCTGACCCCTCAGCCTCGGGGCCCTCCCTGCACTGTGTGGCACGTCTGCCAGAGGCTCTCCACCCGTCCGGGCGTGTAGCGGGGCCCATGAGGGGCTGGTGGCTCTTTAACCACAGGCTCCACACTCCTGCCCCAGGCCAAGGGGCCCAAGGGCAGAGGCTGCCTGCCTCTGGGATGCATTTGGGTGTTTGAGGAACTCCTCCCACAGCCAGCGGTGTGGGGTCTCCTGCCCTGGGTGCCTGCAGGGCTCAGGGGCAGACAGGTGACAGCCTCTCTCTTCTCCCTGTGACAGGAGGCGGGTCCCACGGCAGCCGAGGCATCCCCGCCAGCACCATCATTGATGTGGACAGCGTTGCTGGCTCGGCACCCGGGCTCGGCCGTGGGGTCCCGGGTGTATGGACAGGCCCCCGGAGGTCACAGGCCAGCAGGCCCCCAGCCTCAGACCTCCCTGGCCTGAGCCCTGTGCCAGGTGGGCCCGCCAAGCCCAAGGCCAGCCCGCACCACGCTACCTTCGTCTGAGGCCGCCTACAGCCGTTCCCCTGTCGGCCTTCCTCCTACCCCTCCGGACTGAGTGCGCATCCAAGCTGCCCATCTGGACCTGCGTGTGGAAGCCCAGTAACCTCGTGGGGTCCCCCAAGCCCATCTCAAGGGTCTTGGAAGGGTCACCGCAGCCACCACGCCCTTGGGAACCAAACCAGGAGAGGGCGGAGGGTCTGGCCTCGGACACGCGCCACGGCTGGCTCAGAGGCTCCTCGGACCCCGCCCCTGCCCCTGGTGTTCAGCCTTCCCTCAATAAAGTGTCTTCGAGGACCCCCAAGCGTCGGCCTCGTACTGGGTGCTGGGGTCCCAGACCCTGTCCTCCAGGAGGCTTTGTTGCCAGGGGCCTCCGTGAATGTGTCGGGAGAGGGGCTGGGACAACGGCTCTTGTGCTGAGGTCCAAGTGGGACTCAAGGCCAGGCCCTGTGGGAAGCGACCCTGCAGGTCAGGCCTGGCCTTGTCCACTTCACACCTTCCCCTGCCGGTCAGCGCAGGCGCTCCTCTCCAGGATGAGCTAGGAGAGCCATGAGGTCAGCTGGTCACGGCTCTGCGGCTATGAGCCAGGTCTCCTGCCAGGGCTCTGGGCTGCTGTGGCTCTGAGGGCACAGCGGGGACTCTTCAGGATGATGAGCTCTGTCCCCCTGTTCTTGGCCTCACTTAGAGGGATGGTCTGGCAGGGCCTGTCTGTGGAAGGAGTATCTCAGCGGAGACCTGACTATGAAGACGCCCTGGGAAAGTGTCAGGGCCGTGCAAAGGCCCTGAGGCTGGAGTGAGTTTGGTTGCAGAGGGCTTGAGCTGAGTCAGGAGAACATGGGTGGCAGGCCAGGGGGCAGGGTCATGGCGTGGTATGAGGTTGAAACAGATAGAGATGGTGCCATCGGCCCAGGTTGCCTCGGTGGAACCCCAATGTTGAGCAGCTGAATGCTGAGGGGCCCCCACGTCCCTTCCTCAGAGATCATGGAGAGGGATGGGGGCTTCATCTTACCAGGTTTGTCAGGGAGGGCCTGAGGCCTGAGGGTGCACAGCGAAGCCATGGGATTGTCCTGGGTGCTTCCAGGGAGTGGCCCCCAGTGAGCAGTGCTCTGAGCAAAGCCCAGAGGAGGTGTTGGAATGAAACAGAGGGCCCAGCCCCCTCTCCCTCTCTCTGCACAGATGGGAAAACAGTACCCAGACAGAGTGCTATTTGGGGGCACACAGCGAGGCAGGTGCAGTGCCAGCCTCCCCTGTGCCCCACGCAGGCAGCCGAGCTCACTCACAGGAAACTGAGGCTTCCCGGAAAATGCAGTAGAGGTCCCCACGGCAGCTCGGCCCCCAGCCCCCAGCCTGCCTTCTGGGCAGGGAGGGGCAACTGCTGCAGCTGCGTCGGGGGTCGGTGCCCCCATTCCAGTTCACAGAGGGGGACAGCAGTACTCACAGACCTGGGTGGGACCCCAAGCCCCTAGGTACCTGGCTGGGACTCTGCTGGGGACCAGAGAGGGAGCCCAGGGGAGGAGAGAGGGGACACTTCTGGGCACCCCTGAGGCAGGGCAGACTGGTGGGCGGCTCTGGTCCTGCCCCTCCCCCAGTTCTCTCCTGAGGGCCGCCCCACCCCCACCCCAGGCTCATGGGGAAGAGCAGAGAGGTCCCCATCCTGGGTCACTGTTTGCAACACTCGGCCCAGTGCACACCCCCTTCTCTGCCTGGCCTTTTGCTGGCTTTGGGACCAGCACCCTATCCCCCAGGCCTGAGCCATCAAAAGAGCTCAGTGGTCATAGCTGCTCTGGTTATGAACAGTTCACAGGTAGGCGGTGAACGGCCCTGTTGCCGCTTGGGGACTGGAAGCTGGGGACTTGAGTCCAGGCCCCTGCCTACCATGTCATCATGGAAGACTTCCTGGAGGTGGCTTCTAAGCTAAGACCTAAGGACACTGTCAGGTCCAGCAGCAGCGTGGCTGAGGCCGGAGGGGCCCGCCGGGCCCTGTGGGCAGCAGATACGGGGGCCACGTGGGCCGGCGTGGAAGGCGGCCAGGGTTAATCATTTCCAGGCAGCCTTGACCCCCACCTGCCCTGGCTGCCCTGCTCCCGCCTCCTACTCCCCTCACGCCACCTCGGGAGGAGCCATGGGGCGCTGGGCCTGGGTCCCCGGCCCCTGGCCCCTGCTCGGACTGACCCTGCTCCTGCTCCTGTTGCTGGCGCCTCTCGGGGCCCAACCGCAGGCCGGCGGGGTGAGCGCTGACCCCATCCGCTGTGGCCAGGGGCTCCCTGTGCCCGCTCCGGGTCCTGGGGCTCAGGCCAAGGCAGGGTGTGGAGTGGGTGAGGGCCCAACATGGTGAAAGCTGGCCTTTGGGGGTGGGGTGGGCATGTTGGGATGACCTCGGGGACAGGGGGCATGGGCTCTGTTGGGTCCGGGTGGGGGACAGGGCCTCTTAGGGCCTCTCAGCTGCTGTCTCGCCCACTCCCCAGAATGGGCCCCCAGGACGTGAGCCTGAGGGTGACCCCGAGCCAGCCTTGTCTAACCCCTTGGGTTCGGTGCGAGAGGGTGGGCATGGGCCCAGCTGAGGCCTCAGGACATTTAGTGTCCCCGGGTCCCTACTCCAGACCTGAGGGCTCAAATATGGAATCTGAGGCCCACCTTCTCGGCTCCTCCTAGAACCACACGGAGCCCCCAGAACCTAATGCCACAGTGACCCCTGGGGCCCTCACGATCACTGTCACCTCGGTGACCCACATGCCCCCAGCCGTGAGCGCTCCAGAGGCAGAGGGACCCCACGGCGGGGGACTCACCTCTGCACCCGGGGTGGCCCCCTCCAGCAGCAGCAGACCTGGGGGCTCAGGTGGGTCGGGGGCCTTCCTGGAGGAGGTGGTGGGCTGCACCTGGAGAGGTGGGTTGGGAGGACCTGGACAGCTGCTGGGGAGTGGGGTGAGTGATGGGGGGTCAGGGGTCCTCCAGCACGGGAGTCCCTTGACCCCGGCCGCCTCCCCAGCAGCGCTCACGGAGGACGGCCGGCCCTGCAGTTTCCCCTTCCGCTATGGCGGCCGCATGCTGCACTCCTGCACTTCGGAGGGAAGCGCCCACAGGAAGTGGTGGGTCCCGGCGGGGCAAGGCCTGCAAGCAGACCACCAGCCTCCCCCCTCTGGGCCCCACAGCCCCCGTCCACCCTGCCTGCTCCAGGCTGAGCCCGGCACACGGCAGGTGTCGTGAATGAATGAAGGAGCCCACGAGTGAGTGAGCGAGTGAGTGAGTGAGCGAGTGAGTGTGAGCTCCAGTACAGCCAGGGCAGGTCTCCGGTCTGGGGCCCCCACGTCACTGCACACATCACCCCCCAGGTGTGCCACAACTCACAACTATGACCGGGACAGGGCCTGGGGCTACTGTGTGCAGACCTCCACGCCCCAGCCGGGCCCAGGTGGGTGCCTGGGAGTCTGGGAGGCCTGGGTCCAGCCTAGGAGGGGCTGGGCCTGGTGGGCGTCAGGGTCAATGGGCTGATGGGGACGGGGTCCTGCCTGCAGTGCGGGAGGGGCCTCCAGGGTGGATCCCACTGCAGGCCTGGGGAGCCATTAGCATAAGGGACCTCAGGATTGTGGAGGGTGGACCCCTCCCAGGCAGGACCCTGCCCTCTCTGGTGGCTGCTTTGGCCATTGCCGGGACCAAGGCACCCCCTGGTGGCCAGGCCAGGCTCTGCGGCCGCACGGGCAGAGTGGACGGGTGAGGGAGGGCCAGTGGGGTCAGGAGGGTGCAGTGCTGGCAGCCCTGCTTACGTGGGCCCCAGGGCACACAGGAGTGGACCATGCTGCCTGAAGAAGTGGGGTGTCAAGTTTCCAGGGTGCCGGGCACAGAGTCAGAGGCCCGCTTGCCCAGCAGGGATGTGGGGAGGTAGGGGAGACGTGCACCCCCTGCCAGGGCACCCACACCCCCAAGGAACCCGGAAGGGGCGCCTTTAAGGTGGCAGGCCTGGTGGAGGCACTGCGAGCCTGGGAAAGCAGGGAGGGTCACGGAGTGTGAGGGATGCCGGCGTGGAGCTCTCGGACCCCCACTCCCACCCCTCCCGCCTGCCCCCAGCTGCCCCGGATCCCTGCGCCTCCAGCCCCTGCCTCAATGGGGGCTCGTGCACCAACACCCAGGACCCTGCGTCCTACCACTGCACCTGCCCTGTGGCCTTCACCGGCAAGGACTGCAGCCTGGGTGAGTGGGGCGTGGGGGCCGGGCGGCCCTGGGAGGAGGTGGGTGGGAGGTTGCCTGCTGCATGCAGGGGGCGGGGCCCTGCCTGGGGGCAGTGGTGTGCAGAGAGCAGGGGACTCACAGTGCGACCCGCAGAGAAATGCTTTGACGAGACCCGCTACGAGTACATGGAGGTGGGCGACCGCTGGGCCCGTGTGCACCAGGGCCAGGTAGAGCAGTGTGAATGTGCGCGGGGCCGTGTCCAGTGCGAGGACACACGCCACACAGGTACACGACGGCCGGGGCGGCAGGTCAATAGCCTTCCCAACGGGTGTCCCCATGCCTGGTTCCCACCCAAGGGGGAGGGACCCCCCCCAGGGTAACCCTGATGCACCTGGCCCTTTGAGGCCTGAGGACTAGCTTCTGAGCCCTCCCCCAGCTTGCCTGAGCAGCCCATGCCTGAACGGGGGCACCTGCCACCTGATCGTGGCCACCGGGACCACCATATGTGCCTGTCCCCCAGGCCATGCTGGGCGGCTGTGCAACATTGGTGAGTCGATGGGCCCCTGGAGCCACGTGGGCTGGCCTCCCGGCCCTGTGCTCTGGGAGCTGGGTGTCGGGGTGGGCGCAGCCTGGGCCCAGGATCATCAGTGGTCCACCATGCTGCCCACAGTGCCTGCACAGAGCTGCTTCATGGGAAATGGCACCGAGTACAGAGGTGTGGCCAGCACAGCGGCCTCAGGCCTCAGCTGCCTGGCCTGGAACTCCGACCTGCTATACCAGGAGCTTCATGTGGACTCGGTGGGCGCTGCGGCCCTGCTCGGCCTGGGTCCTCACGCCTACTGCCGGTCAGCACTGGGCGGGCAGGGTCCATCCTGGGGGGCGGGAGGTGCTTCTTGACCTGGCTGGCCTGGGAGTGCCTGACCGCTCTGCCTGGGAGCTAGCTGCCCCAGGGAGGAGGGCCGGGCTGGGGAGCAGGCCCACGGGCCCCAAGGCCGCTGTATCCATCTGCAGAAACAGCAAAAAGCTGCTGGGGGAGGGTGTGTCAGGAGCCCCGCCCTGCTAGGTGTCCCCATGTCCCTCTCTCCCTTCCCTCTCTGAGGGGCACTGTGACACCTGCCCACTCGCCTCTCCATGCACTCCAGGAACCCGGACAAGGACGAGAAGCCCTGGTGCTACGTGGTGAAGGACCACGCACTCTCCTGGGAGTACTGCCACCTGGTGGCTTGCGGTGCGCAGAGCTGGGGTGGGCAACGCTGGCCCCACTCCTGTTGAGGTCACAGCATTTTGGCCTGTGGCCCTCCCCACCTCACCCCCACACCTGGCCTCTTCTCTCTGGAGGCCCACTGAGGGATGGGGAAACTGAGGCTCACTGGAGCAGGGCTAGTCCAAGGCCATGCAGTGGGTTGGCACCAGTGGTCAGAGGGGCCGGGCCGGTCACCAGGTCCTCTGGGTGGCCCCTGCCCAGCCTGAACCCTGCTGGGAAGGCCACCAGAGGTGATGAAATGCGGCAGAGCACAGCGTGGGGGCCCCTGGAGTCAGACCCTGGGGTGGGCAGCTCCGTGAGGCCAGCTGCCTTCTGGCCCCCATGCCGCAGCCTCTGACCATCCTGGGATTGGCTGCTAAGAGGGACATGAACACCTGCCCGGTGTGCCAGGCCGCTCTGGTTCCCACAAAGCCTGTGACTGGGTTCTCCCCATCCTACAGACGAGGAAACTGAGGTTCAGGGAGTAAGTCATGTGCCACGAGGGCGGCGCTGGGCCTGAGCCCTGGACCCCCTTCCAGACGAGCTGCCCGGGGTGGGGCCTGCGGACCGCGGAAGGTGGGTGCAGCCCGGGGCTCCGGGAGGGGCCCTGGGGGTGTGACCGGTCACCTGTGCCTTCAGAATCCCGCACCAGAAGCGAGCGCCCACCCACCCAGGTCCTGCTCACCCTGCCTGGACCCGCCCCAGCTGGACGCCAGGCGTGCGGCAGGCGGCACAAGAAGAGGAGCTTCCTCCGGCCTCGCATCATCGGCGGCTCGTCCGCGCTGCCCGGCTCCCACCCCTGGCTGGCCGCCATCTACATCGGGAACAGCTTCTGTGCTGGCAGCCTTATCCACACCTGCTGGGTGGTGTCTGCCGCCCACTGCTTCTCCAACAGGTGAGCGGCTCCGGTCTCAGAGGCCCAGACCCCCACGCCATCCCTCAAAGCATCCCGCATCCACCCCCACGATCCACCGCTCCACCCGCCACCCATCCATCTCTCACCGACCCACGCAGCCGCCATCTGCCACCCA